CCCCCCCCACCCCGCCGCAGGTCAAGCCAACAAATGGGTAAAGAACATGGAGAAGGCCAACAAGCTGGGCATCATCAAGCTCTCGGATGCCAACTACATGAGGACCATGGAGAACAGTATCCAGTTCGGTACGCCTGTCCTGCTTGAGAACGTCGGAGAGGAGCTTGACCCCATTCTGGAACCAGTGCTGCAGAAGTTGACCTTCAGACAGCAGGGTGTCGACTACATCCGGCTCGGTGACAACGTGATTGAGTATTCAAATGACTTCAAGGTTAGAATTTTTACTAAGAATTGATACTCGCACTTGTCATTGCTTTGTTTAAGTGGCGAGAAGCACTCCAACACAATATTGGTCATTTAGTGTGAGGAGTATGCAAGACAAATGGGCAGAAATAACAATGAGAGAAAAAGAAGCAGGACCTTCTAGTGGCTCCCTCCACCCATAAACATAACTGTGGTGGGAAGTTTTAAAGAGACAAACTTATTGTGAAAATGGATGTATTTCCTATTCTTCGACCATTCCTGTCCAAGGTCTCACCTTTTCACAAACACCAAATGGCCATCTTTGTGTTCATTTAACAGAATGTTGTTATCTTTCACTCAAAAATAGAGACAGACAAACAGTTGGTGTTTTAAACGTCTGATGACTCATTCAGATTTGTGTCTGACAGAAGAAGTCCTAAATCTGCTATCGGTCACTACATTTTTGTGTACAGGGCTGGTTTTGGGTTACAGGTTTATTCTTTTGTCTTCCATTAAATCGGAACACTGACAATGATTTTGACAAATTTCGTCACACCATGAGCAATTAGCCTTTTTAACAATGAATACTTGTTTTACTTTCACTAACCCTCTCCATTCCTCACTTTTACTTTTTTTTTTCAATAGCACTAATACACCACACAGTAAAAGTCTTTGAAGAATGCAAAAGTCATTAATGAAAGAAAACAGGACCCACTACTGACTTTATGAGGAAGAATATGTGTGTACACACCTAGTTAAGGATGGCAAAAAGAAACTTCTGTTTCTGACTGCAATGATTGTAAATGTTGTACGCCCCCTTTGACACAGTTAAGACAATGTAAGAAGCAGGCTGTTGCTATGCTTGCTGTCAGTTCCAATCTGGAGTGGGACAGCATCCCATCAGAAAATTGGAGTTACTTGATAAAATAACTTTGTCACTAGGGAATCAATCTCATGTCTCCTGCATACAACAATGAAGAACCCCAATCATCACATCACAGATGCATTTTTTCTGTCTTTGCCAGTTCATGTATCTGTAGAGTCTGCTTTGTTGAGTAAAAGTTTTACGGTGCTGGCAACTCCATAAGATCATATGAGTGCTCTTTGAGTCTGCTAAGAAATACTTATATATTTTTGTATTCTCCATTTCTCTGGCATGCTCAGATGTACATCACAACTGGCCTGCGGAACCCGCACTACCTGCCGGAGGTGTCGGTCAAGGTGTGTCTGCTCAACTTCATGATCACACCCCAGGGCCTGGAAGACCAACTGTTGGGCATTGTGGCTGCCAAGGAGAAGCCTGAGCTGGAGGAGAAGAAGAACCAGCTGATCCTCGAATCAGCCGCCAACAACAAGCAGCTCAAGGAGATTGAGGACAAGATCCTCGAGGTCCTCTCCTCATCACAGGTAAGAACTATGCATCAAATGTGGTCTCCGTGTCTCAGGTTAAAAAAATGTTCACAAGATGTTTTCTCCTCATCGCTCGTAAGCTTTCTGCAAGGTTCAGTTGTCCAATATAATCACAAGTACAAACAATGACCTATCACTTCCCCTTGTATTTTATTAGATATTATAATGATGTTGTGGAATATGTCCATCCACCTGTTTAAGACAACCACTTTTCTCAGTGGCAATGGGTGGCTGTCTAAGACAATTTCAACTGTAATACTTGAAATGTCAGTAAGGAATCGAAAGAGAAACCATCATTAGAGATATGTGACCCTTGGGTTTTGTATCAATCCCCACCTTTTATCCAGAATTCTCTCTCCCCACTTTGCATCTTCCTACCTTCCCTCTTCACATGTGTGTGTCAAGCCTGTTGAGATGCATAACTGTTTATTGTGTTCTTTAGAGGACAGTCAAAGATGGCATGCTCCTAAAATTCTTATTGACTAGTGACTTCCAAGTACTCCTCGCCTCCTCCACCCCTCCCCCCAACTCCACTGTATGCCTCCATTGACACAATTTGAATAATTTCAGGGAGGAGCTGCCTCAACCTGTCCATCAAGGCCAACTTTGGTTGATTGGGGCAGAGTATTCTGGAAGAGAGAGACTATACTATGATACTTAATGAAATACTTTTTGCTCCTGGAAACTGAATTCATGTCTATTGCATACGGCAACACAGAGTCTTAACAACTTCACCACTGATGCTGGTCAGCATACTCAGTATCTGTCATCTTTTTCTCTCTCTCCCTGCAGGGAAACATTCTGGAAGATGAGACTGCCATCAAAGTTCTTTCCTCTTCCAAAGCCCTGTCAGAGGAAATCTCTGCCAAACAAGAAGTGGCCGTGGCAACAGAGGTGGAAATTGATGAGACGAGGAACGGCTACCGCCCAGTGGCCGTCCACTCCTCCATCTTGTTCTTCTGTATCTCTGATCTGGCCAACATAGAGCCCATGTACCAGTACTCCCTGACCTGGTTCATCAACTTGTACCTGCATGTAAGTCACACAACTTTATGGCTGTCCTGTTATGCGAGGTCTGATTGCAATGATTGCACTAGGTACACTCACTTTAGTTGCCACGTCCACCAGGGGCACTTGGCCCACCAGAGGTACTGGGAATTTATAGACTAGCTGCATACAAGCTTGACTTATTTACAGTGAAAGTGACTAGAGAAAAATGTTCCTTTTCATCAGTCAATAATGCTAATATACTTTGCAAAGAGAGACTGAAAACAATTCTTCTTTGGGAAGTGATACAAATGTTATGAAAGGTTTCAAACTTTTTAGGTACAAATACCTAAGTGTTATTGAGAAGTTTCAGCATTAACTTCCTTCTTCACAGGGCTTGTTATGGCTTTTTGTTGTGCCAACAAGTCTCATGTGATTTGGCTAGTATTGTTGGCTGAACTGCTAGTCTTATTAGATTAAATGCACACTTCTGATTTTGTCAAAAAATGTTTTCTTTCTTTAACTGTGACTGTACTTTACAAAGAAATTGACTGTTGTGTCTGAGGGTGCCTCTGTTACTTTAACTTTTCTGTTACTTGTCTTTTGTCTTCATGGCCCTCTTTATGTTGGCGTGGTGTTGACATGTTTCTCTGTGACAGAACTTGTTGATTGTAATTGATTGACACTCTCGTTGCCTTAATTTCCTCAACAAGCTGCTTCCGTCCGGGTAAATCTAGGCTGATTGGGATGCAACTTTCCAGCAGACAAGCGGCAATACTTGGTATAATTTCTTCACCATTTAGACACTAAATTCATGTTTCCTGCATGCAATAACAATGTGCATAACCATTACACCACTGACGTTTTGACACATCCAGACAAACAAGCAAATAAATAAACAAACGAACCATGCTTTTTTTCCTCTTCCAGTCCATCAGCAACAGCGAGCCTTCAGAAGATCTCAAGGAGCGAATTCAAAATCTCAACGAGCACTTCACACTCAGTATCTACAACAACGTGTGTCGTTCTCTGTTTGAGAAAGACAAACTCCTCTTCTCCTTCCTCCTGTGCATCGGCATCATGAAGGGAGAGTAAGTCTCCAGATCTGGCCAGCTCAACAGCTTGTTCTGTTCTTTAGAGGGGGATCTACCGAAGTAAAATAATGAATTATGAAGACTAAATTGTTTCCAATCAATCATCTTTTATATCAATAAAAGATAATATTTTATTGATCATCCTTTTACCGAAATCAACAGTCTGCTTTCACCAGCTTTGGTGAGGCAAAATAGACATTCACTGCAGCAATACCTCTCCCTCTCTCTCTCTCTCTCTCCCTCTCTCTCTCTCCCTCCCTCTCTCTCTCTCTCTCTCTCTCTCTCTCTCTCTCTCTCTCTCTCTCTCCCTCTCTCTCTCTCTCTCTCTCTCTCTCTCTCTCTCTCTCTCTCTCTCTCTCTCTCTCTCTCTCTCTCTCTCCAAGAGTAAAACAAAAAAGTTGACCAAAGTGCTATTGAAGTAAAATGAACTGATCGATCTCCTTCTTACTGTTGCTGCTATTTAAAATCCTGACACCTATTTCTGCCCTCCCCAGGGGCAGAGTTGATGAAGCCACCTGGCGCTTCCTGTTGACAGGAGGCGTCGCTTTGGAGAACCCAATCCCAAACCCTGCCTCCAGCTGGCTATCTGACAAAGCGTGGTCCGAGATTGTACGAGCGTCCAATCTGAACAACCTTAACGGCTTCATGGAACGTGAGTGATGCTGTAGGCACACAGCTGCCAAGAAGATATAGTCTGGTCCATTTGTTTGCTCTGCTGAACTTTATGCTCAATTATACTGATGGAAAATGGGTTTTTTGAAGGTGGCGGACTGGATCTGCCTTGTTATTCATGCTGAAAATGTGTTTTTTATGGTGAAAAATAAGCTATATCCTGTTGTGCATCCACAAAGTTGGTCTTTTTAAAGGTGGAGAAATTGGTCCCCCAACTAGATCTAAGACTTTGGGGGAACCGCACCAAGATTCATACCTTGATCTGTCGAGTTTGTCTCCAACTACACTGAAGCAAACGTTCCACCAGCCTTTTGGCACTTTCCAAAACTAAATTATTGATCATAATTTTGTTTATCTCAGAGGGACGTCATTGGTACATCATTTATGAATAAGCTGGCCTGAATACAAAATGGTTATTTCAAGAGTGTTGATAGGAGTTTTAGAAAAGAGTCTCTGTCTTCAGCAACATATCTGAGATGGTTCATTTTGTCAAAGTATTTGTCTGTTGTAATTTTGCCTGTGTATTTCACCTTGTGGAGGAGATTTGTAACATAAAAGTGTTTATCTGGTTTCATCTGGATTTTCTCTTTTGTTAATTAACTGTACACAAGTGTTAACTTTTTTAGAAGATTTGTGTCCGCATCTCTCATAAGATGGTTCATTGTCTGATGTTGCAATGTTTGTGTCTGTCTTTCTCCCCTTGTATTTCCATGTCTTGTGTTACAAAATACAATGTTTGCATATGCATTATCAGCATATCTTTAATGGCCTCTGACTGGTGTGACAAACTTATCTGACCTGTGCAGATGTCCAAGAGAACCCTGACAGTTGGAAGAAGTACTACGACAGCTCCACCCCTCAGACGTACAAACTGCCATCCCCCTGGGATGCCTTGGGAGGACTAGACACCATGGTGGTCCTACGCTGTTTCCGCCCAGACAAAATAGTCCCTGCTGTCCAGGACTTCATTGTGGAAAACATGGGCCAGGCATATGTGGAACCCCCGACCTTTGACCTTGCTGGATCTTTCGGGGATTCCAACTGCTGTGCACCACTTATCTTTATTCTCTCCCCTGGCGCTGACCCCATGATGGCACTGCTGCGTTTTGGAGAGGACAGAGGCTACAAGGGCAACATGATACAGACCATTTCACTTGGTCAAGGACAGGTAAGAGAGCTATATTAGATCTATCACTCCACAAACTTTCCTCTCTTGGGAACTCTCTCTGAAGCTGGAAAGAGGGATAAAGACTTTTAGGTGTAGAAAGTTGTTTTTTTATCTTGTGTAAAAAAAAAACATTTTACATGCTTTGCCCTAATAGAATGAAAAGAGATTTTACCTTGTTCAATTGTTTAGAAAAACTAAATATTTTTGTAGAAAAAGTAGGTGGAAATGTTGAGCCCCTTTTATACTTCAAATTTTTAGTGACTTTGATATACGTCTTTATGTGTATATAAATTTGGTGAGTTTGTGTGTCTCCAGGGCCCTATTGCTGCCAAAATGATTGACAAGGCCATTCTGGATGGAACTTGGGTGGTGCTGCAGAACTGTCATCTGGCCACCAGCTGGATGCCCAAGCTGGAGAAAATTTGTGAGGAGGTGGGTCACTTTCCGTGGTTTTTGAGGTCAAAACTTCAGTTTCTGTGTTGTTGGTTTTTTTCCATCATCATGTTGATTAAATTTTTTCTCAGTCATGGCATGACTGCCCTGACCGTTATGAAATGAACCGTAATTTAAAGGCCTAACCTCTTGAAGGACCTAAATTGTACTGAAGAGAGATACTGTTCCTGGGAAAGCAAAAAATGGCAGGAGTGTTGGAATTGTGTTTACTTTGGTATTGTACGCCCATTACCACCCAGTACTGAGGTAGTCACTGACATATTTCTAGATGAGTAAGTTTTACTTTTACTTGGTGTGGAAAAAAATGAGAATGTTTCTGCCTCAAAGTTCTCCTTGGTAAATAGGTGTTATACTCAAACATTAGAAATAGCACCTCTGTGGGTTAAAGATTCTTCAGTCAACTGCCTCTGAGATCTAGTGGGGGATGAAAAAGAAGGTGAAAAGAAAAAGAAGTACCAAAAGAAGAGGAACTAGAAAAAGAAAAAGAAGAAGAAGAGACAGCAAAAGAAAAATAAATAGAACAAAAAAAACTAACATAAGGAGAAGAAACAAACTATTTTTATTAACCTCTTTATTTTTTCAGGTGATCGTCCCAGACTCGACCAATGAAGACTTCCGTCTGTGGCTGACCAGCTACCCGTCAGATAACTTCCCAGTGTCCATCTTGCAAAATGGTGAGTGAGACAGTTGTTTTTCATTCCAAGTGCTTTGGTCTTTTGTTCACCATGAGGTTGAGTTGTTCTATAATTTTTTGTTTTGGCTGTGTATAGTGATAAAAATACAATAACTTTTGCCTCTGATATCTCAGTTCTGACCTCACTGACCCAAGCTGATGTGTTTGTTTTGTTTTTCCATTCCTCCAGGAGTCAAGATGACCAATGAGCCACCTAAAGGCCTTCGAGCCAACCTCATCCGATCCTACCTCAATGACCCGATCTCTGATCAAAACTTCTATGATGGATGCAACAAGGTAAGTCTTTCCATCCTCTGCGCTATGGATCCAGTGACTTGTTGGTTTTTGCTTGTATGCTGTGTTCGATAGAATTTCCAGCAGTTCAGATCTAAAATTTAATCACTGTATAACACAGAGAGAATAATTACATGTAATTCAACTCTTGAGCTTGACATTTTACAATTTGTATGCATTGAAATCCTGCAGATTTATCAAATTTATCTCATTTTTAAAATAATCTTTCATGAAATGGTTTAAGATCACCCCATTATGTCCTTTTTCTTTTTATTTATGTCCTTTTTATTTCTTTTCCTTTTCTTAAACTCAAGTGTTTGTCTCTTGATGCAAATGTAGTCTTAATTTCTCCTGAGGGAATGGACGGAGAGGTCTACTTTTTATCTCCCTGTTTCTCTTCCTACAGCCTGAAAAGTGGCACAAGATGTTGTTTGGTCTCTGCTTCTTCCATGCCTTGGTTCAAGAGAGGCGTAAGTTCGGCCCGCTGGGCTGGAACATTCCGTATGAGTTCAATGAGTCTGATCTCCGGATCAGCATGAGACAAATGCAGGTAAGAACAGATACACTGCTGGAAGGCTGGTGAGTGGTTCAGAAGTGGAATCAGCTGAATAGGCTTTTGGTATAGCGCAGAACATTCTGGTGGCATTTTTAGAAATGTATATTTTTTTGTTTACCCTGTGGCACTGTTGTGCATTTGTAAAAAAGTCCAGTTTTGTGTTTTGATTACTTACTTTGGGTTGAAGTATAGATCTAGAAGTTGAGCCGCATGTCATAATTGTGGAATCACAATAAATACTATTGTTTTAGAGGTCTTTTTTGGGGACTGGTCAAAGGTGGGACAAACTAAAATAAAGAAATAAAACTCCAAGTTAATCAAGTGTACACCCTAGTATTATAAGTTGTTCATTTTACATGAATTTGAGCAATGACAAATTATCCAGTGTAAAAAACATTATATAGCTGTATTATTTAGTTATCATAAAAGTTGCCCAATTTAAGTTACAGTTGTGAGAGGTTTTGCTGAAAGTATCCCCAAGTCTTGAGTGAATTTTGGGTTAGATTATTCCACTGCATCACGTCTGTCCTCACCCTTTCATTATTGTGAACAAACCTCTATATTTATTTAGAGATTGGTGAGGAGGTGGAGGAAGGCATTTTTTCAAAGCTCTCTTCGTTTTGAAATTTAAGTTCACCCAAAATCACACAAATAGCCTAGTTTTCCTGTATGTGACCCTCCCCTTTCCCCTAAACATTGCTTCATGGTTATACTCACAGTGAACTGGCCTCTATGTTTCTGTGGTTCCCCAGATGTTTTTGAATGACTATGAGGAGCTCCCCCTGCCTGCCCTCTCTTACCTGACTGGCGAGTGTAACTACGGAGGTCGTGTCACTGACGACAAGGACAGACGTCTGCTCACCTCCCTGCTCTCAATTTTCTACACAGAGGAGATTGTCTTTGATGACAACTACAGGTAAAAATTATCTCATCTTTGCATGACTTTAATGTCCTTCTAGATACAAATAGGTAATTTGATGGTAGAGCCCTCTGCCTTGGTTTAAGTAAAGAGAGAAAAACTGGAAGGAAATCTGTGGTGAACATCTGAGCACAGATGTGTATGAGTTTGATTACATCTTCAGATGACAGCCTTCTAACTGGTAAGCAGTAAGTCTACCAGGGGGGGTAGGCAGTTGGGATGAATTTATTACGGTACGATAGAATTGCATTTGTCTTCATTTGTCTGAAAGTTTGAAGTAAGGTATTCCCAACTCTTGAGTGAATACCTTGGGTTAGATTACTCCTACACATTCAAATCTTTCCCAGTATTTTCATTACTGCTTAGAATAAAACTCTGCTTTATGCCATGTGGTCTATTTGGTTGTTTTTGGTTGTGGCAGGGGTTAGGCCTAGCCTATTGTATTGTTTGGCTGAAAGTGTGAGAGTGAGTAAAGTGTGAGTCTCTGTTCGGTTGTATTGTTTGCAAGCAGTCTGAGTTACTACTGGGGGGACTTTTAGAGGAGAGAGTTGTATCAAGGCAGAGGAGGCCTGCTGAGAGTATAGGTAGTGAAAAAGGCTAGTTAGAGCCTCGGTTCATCTGTGTGTAAAGTGTGAGATTCCAACACATCGGGGCCCCAAAGCTGCGGAAAGGATCTCAACACAGAGAGGAACAGGTTTGGCTAACTCCTGTTATAGTAGCATGCAGACAGAAGGTTAGTAGTGTTAAACATTTGTTTTATGTTCCAAGTAACAACATGCCATTTAGAATAATGCTTATGATGAAGTCTTACACTGAGCTGTGAAGATATTATTAAGTGCTGGAAATAAGTAAGATGGAGAGACAAAAGCAAAAAGAAATGGGACATTCCAGTGGTACCACCTGTCAACTGCTTGATGTAACCCATGTGTTTGAAGTGAATTGCAAGGCTAAAACCCCACAATATTGCAGTCTCCCCCCTCCTCCCCCCCCACACTGCCTCCTTCTTCATTCTCTCCACCTCCTCCCCCTAATCCTTCATCTACCAACAGGTTCTCCCCGAGTGGTGTGTACTACGCACCCCCAGAAGGCCCCTATCAGAGCTACATCGACTACCTGCGGACGTTGCCACTGATCCCAACCCCTGAGGTTTTTGGCCTGCATGAGAACGCCGACATCACCAAGGACAACCAGGAGACACAGCTAGTATGTTTTGACTCAGCTGGATTCAGCGATTTTTATTTTTTTTTAAAGTTTGTGATTCAGTGATTTAGTTGTCTTGGTGTTAGAAATTCATGCGGAAGTTTTCATCTGTGTCTTGTTACAATTAAGAGTTAGAAAGCTATATAAAAATGTCATTTATACATCTAGATGGTATATGTTTGCTGTGATAAGCTAACATGTTTTTATACTTCTCTCACTGGTATAAGGGGGAGGCGGTGCAAATTAGAGATTTAAGGTCTCTGTATTCTGGTCTCTACTCACAGGACTTGGTTATTTATTGATAATAGATTATTTGTTAGTAATTTCAAAGTATGGTTCTGAGCCTCTCTTTTTTATTAATATAACTGAAGTAACACCCCCCCCCCCCCAAAAGAAAGAAAGAACCACTGGTTTTCTCCAACTCTTACCCTCTGTGGTTAGTTGGTCAAGCACATTGATCATCAGAACTATGAAAAACAAAGTGTTATCCTCAGATCTGTTCGTTGGTAAAATATAACATTTTTTTGCCAGGCATCCATTTGGGACTTACCTATCATCTTTTGTTGTTATATATTTGTTAACTATAATATGTATATTGTATATTTGTGGACTATAATATGTATAACAGAGTAACAGATTTGCTATTGAGTTTTAAGGTAGATAAGATAAAATGCCTTATTTGCCCTTTGCAGGAAATTCTTTGTGACACTTTGTCTTTCATTATTAATCTTATTCACTATTGTTTATTATTGTTCTGTACAGCTCTTTGAGAGTATCCTGTTGACCCTTCCACGCCAGTCAGGTAGCGGTGGGCAGTCATCGGGAGATGCCATGCAGAGTCTCGCTGATGATATCTTGGGCAAATTGCCTGCGAACTTTGACCTAGAGTTTGTAAGTAAAAACGTCTATACTTCTGTGATAAAACCTTTGGCTAAGAGTTTTTATATTTGTATAGATGGTTTATAAGAGGGCTGAGAGATTGATTGTACTGCGTCTGCCATATTGTCTTTGCATGCTTATGTCTTTTATTTATGTGTATATTTTTGTGTGTGTATATAAATCTAAATCAAGGACTACTATACTCAAGGACGTGCACCGCCGGATTCCTGACTTGGCTAGCGAAGGCCATCATATAAACATGTCCAACTTATCACTAGGCACAAGATATATTTCATATTGAGTGTGAGAAAGCTAAAACATGTTGTAATGTTGTTGAACGCAATTTTGTAGCATAGTAATACATGTTATTTCTATATTTTTGTTATGTCAAGCAGAAATATTAGTATGAAAAGCATTTTAAAAATGTTTACAAATACAGCAACAAGAATTAGCCTTACTCACTAAGTGAATCCGCCTTACGTGCCTTCTTGATGGATGTCTGTAGCAGGGCTGCATTCTTTTGGTGATCCTTCTCTAGATTGTGCAGACCGCGGAGTAAGACATTTGCGAGATGACGGAGCAAATTCTTGGACTGAACGATGTCGAAGTCGTGAAATTCCCCCATGGTTGATAGAATTCCAACAAGTCTCTGACGACAACAGACTCTATTTTTTGCTTTCTTTACAAAGGAAAGTCCAATCCTAGTCAGTTCATACGTAGACATATGGGGGGTTCACAATGCCTCCTGTCTTTTCTACTAGAGCCTTAGACTCCTTCACAGCCTCGAATTGAAATGATGCTGTAAGTTTATGTACAGGTATCACTGACATCATAATGCTAGGTCCACCATGCAAGCATTTGACCATGATACATAACATGGATGTCGCTCTAGAATCCGGTTCATTTTTGGCCATGCCGCTGAGGACACCACCAGAGAAAGCTACAGTGGGTCGGATCTTTACCTCGTCGATCAATAAAAACACATTCTTTTGTTGGGGTGTTTTAAGTTTTTGAAATGTTTTTTTTTAAACACTTTCAATCTCTAAGGAGGAAACAACAGACTTTATTTTTCTTGTACTTGGCTAGAACAAAATGTCTCTTAGTTGTTCATAACTGCAGCGGGGAAACGATTCGATAGCGAAACAGTAATCACTTACAGGAAATTGTTTGTGAGTCAACAGTTTCAGCTGATGAGTTATAAAGTCTAGTTTTCTTTCACTTTTCTTTTCCTGAATAAAAGAACAAAATAATAGAAAGATTCTAGTTTACTGGACCACTAGGCAATTACAAATTTCAAGAAATCAAGATCTTAACTTTACCTTAGTTTACTCCGGTCCTTCAAAATTTGTTGATTAGATCTAGATCTAGATTTACCAATTGTGAACATCAACTGTCTAGGTACGAGATTTTATCGGTAGGAAAATGAAAAAATAATCCTTTTTTTTTATAAACCACATTATTTTTAAAAACTTAATCCTACACTACTGGTCCAGTATACTAGGATCTTACCTTTGGGTCTTCAAGTTCTGTGCAACGTGATTGTTCCAATACTTCCACAACTCTCTCAAGCACAACATCCAAAGGAACTTTATAGTTTAGGGCGACGTGCACACACTCAAAAAATTGGGTGTAGGAATTCAATCCGTTATTTGGATTTAATATTTTTCCCAAAGGAACTCTGGATCCTTTCTTGAATGCGGTGAGTGTAAGAGGGGAGCACAATGTTGGTTTATTCTCAACAACTACTGATAAAACACACTCTTCACAATGCTCAGTCATGAACAGGCAAACAAATCTGTCCTCTGTTCTTGAAAGAATTAAATTGTCATATTTCTTGTGGAGTTCCTTTTCTGGAGAAAATTCTGAAAGGCTACAGATTTTGTCTTTTTTCATGAAATTGCGGAGTTGCTGATCTTCTTGTTTGGGTGGACGAGGGGGTGGTTTTGGCGTTGGTAGACAAGACGAGGGAACATCAAATAAACTCGGCAGATCTACTGGTCGAGTGTATCCTCCAGGTAATTTAATCACAGGATAATCTGATGGCCAATGCCTTTCACAGATAAAGAATTGGTCTGGATCCAGAGAGAAGTTTTCATGAGGGGGTAAAACAGAAAGCCATCTTTGTCCCTCAAGTCCTTCTTTTGGTACCTTGAACACTCGACATTTATTGTCTTTATTGTAGTTACCTCTGCAGTTTACAACCCCACATTTATTCGGCATGGTGAAATCAAACTATCCTTGCGCATAGACGGGCCGATTAATTCACAATAATCCACAGAATTAACAAAAGCACTCAGAGAAACATGAGGAGAGGAACATTTCAATCGTAAACATTGATCACTGCACTTCTTTCCGGAAGGATGCGCTTACGCTGATAAATGGTGTCCATAATTATGCTTACATTTCTTTGCTTGGAATCTTAATCAAAAATAAAAATATTGACACCTTTCAATATCTGATTCATTTCTGCATCATTTTTATTAAGATCAACGAATTTTACAGATAGGATTCATTCTACTTCAAAGGAGATAAATAGTCCCCGATTCCTATGAACGAGTCAAAGCTAAAGATAAGGCACTGAGTCAGAAAGGGAATATCCGGAGTGTTTGACTCGATGGCCTTCGCTAGCCAAGTCAGGAATCCAACTGTGCACGTCCTTGAGTATAGTAGTCCTTGATCTAAATATAAAATATACATATATCGACTTCTCAGTGTAAATGGGGAATGGCTGAGTCTTACATCACAAATGTGTGTTTCAGTGTGTGAGAGTGTTTGTGTGCTTGTTTCATGTGTTTTGCTTTTCGATAAGTGGCTATGTAGGCTTTTATATTTTGTTTGTTTTTTGAGGAAGAGTGGGCTTGTGTTAATGAATGTCTGTCTGTCTTTGTGTGTTAATGTGCATTTGTTAAGGTGGTTCTTTTAGCTGTCACTTATGACACTTTTTTAGCTGTGATACCCTGTGTTTCACAAATTCTCCTGTCATTCAAAACGTCTGCACTTATGCGCTTGCTACCTTTTTATCTCCTAATTTGCTAACTGTATTACGCTGTGTTTTACATATTCCTCCATCTTTCAACATTTGCGCAGGTGATGAACAAGTATCCAGTTGTATATGATGAATCCATGAACACCGTCCTGAGGCAGGAGCTGATTCGCTTCAACAACCTCATCTCTGTGGTGAGGAAGACGCTAGTCAATCTTCAGAAGGCCATCAAAGGTACAGACCCACAGAGTGTCATTGAGTGCATGTTGCTTTCAGTCTCCTCCTTTTTTGTGTGTGGAAGATTTTGTGCCTTTGTGAACATATGCCTTCCTTTCCAACAGAGTGGATGGTTGGTGGGTGCTCTGGTGTGGTTTGCTCCACTTCCATCCTCATTTTCTTTCCTACTTCTATTTTTGTGTTTGTTACTCTCTCTCTTCTAAAATTTTAAATCTTCTGCACTTATATGACCTAATTGAGTTGCAAACGCCATAAATTACTTGTTCATTTGTGCGTATAATCTCATTTATGTGTACACACATATATCCTTTCTGAAACATAAGTCCACATTCTCTGATGTACACATGGACTCATACAACTCACAAAGTCACAGGTACACAGGCAACTCACCCTTTCATGAACACACATACACAGGCACACGCACACGCACACACACACACACACACACACACACACACACACACACACACACATCTAAACACTCAAACATAGAGACACAAGCACACACACACACTCACACCATCATTCAAGTATTCTCTCAATTACACACACACACACACACACACACACACACACATACTCTTGCTCTCATAACACACAAGCACACATAAACACACTCACTCGATCAATCCCCACCTTTCATAAGTATGTACATAGTGTTACTTACTTGAATATACAAACAAACGAACAAAACGATTGATGTGCGTGTGTCTTCAGGTCTAGTGGTGATGTCCTCGGAGCTGGAGGAAGTCTTCAACAGTATGATGGTGGGCAAAGTGCCTGCCTCGTGGGCCGCCAAGTCATATCCCAGCCTCAAACCTCTCGGCAGCTATGTTTCTGATCTGCTGGCCAGGTAGGTGTGGTCAAATGGGAAGTCCAGGGGTTGAAAGAAAGGGAGATGGGGAGGGAAAAAATGGGGGAGAGGGTAGAAAGGGGCAGGGGAAGATGACGTGGGGTAATAAATGGAAACAGGATGGGGGGGGGGGGGGGGGGTGTTATTGCCGTGTATGTGTTGGTTGGTAGTAAAGCAACTCCAATGTTCTTGCTTTTTTATATCTGGGCTATTGGATACTTTATGTTGTGTCATTTTGCAGACAGAATTATTTTAGCTTATTAAATGGGAGAAGGGGATCCGAACTTCGACTGTCTATTACTGGGCCTGATTGCTTTAAATGTTTTATATCCCCCACATCACAATTTACATTATTTTAGAGGGGAGTCACTTCATCTCCTCTTGTCAAGGACAAGCTGGGCCATTATCCCCCCCCACCCCACCCCACCCCCAACCTTGAAAAACAGCAAAATGTACCATTTATTTTGACAAATAGCCATCATCCTTTTCTCGCAATGAACGGCATGTTCAAATTTTATTTTGTTTAGGCCAACATTGTCTCACAATAAACTTTGGGATCTTTACTTAAAGAACATGTCATAATCATTGTATCATTATAAAAAGGACCTAGTTTATTCCAACAAATAGTAAATGAGTTTGCCTTATGTTGAACTCTGTAAGTGTGACCTACCTTGAAATAGGACTAACCTCAGTGAACATCATTGCTTGGAATCTCTCTCTCCATGGGTGGTTGGAGGATGCCACGGTTCATTTCCATATGTATCGGCCCTGCACTTAATAATGACAGTTATTTTGTTGATGTGCTTCTCATGACTAAAACAAAACTCTGTCTCCTCAGACTGAAATTTTTCCAGGACTGGATTGAAAACGGCGCCCCCTCCACCTTCTGGCTCTCAGGCTTCTACTTCACACAGTCTTTCCTCACAGGTACCCCAGCTTGTTAAAAACTTGTTGCAGTGTTATGTGTTTGTCTTCTTAGCTTTCATTTCAATGGATTTTGCTGCCATATCACTTTGTTGTTTAGACAGTTCTGTGCCATTGGCTTGGGTGGCTCATTCAGAACATCTTGCGGGGAAAAATTTAGTTTTGTAATGGTGTGGATGTGGGGAGGGGGGAGAATTTTCATAGTTTCATTTCTTCACCCCCTCGCACACCCCCTACAAAGGGCTTCACTGTGATATTTTAATATATTTTTCTTCTGAACTGTTTTGTCAATGTGCTTTGTTTTGGAGAATATCAATACATTCTTTTTAGGCTGTGAAAGAATGGGTCTGGAGGAGAAAGAGGGGTGAGAAGGTAGGGAGAACCAAAAGGGAGAAAAAGAGAATTTACTTTTGCTGTTTGTAACCTTGACACATTTTATGCTGTGAGGTCAATAAATCTGTGCTTGTCCTTGACATTGTCATCACTGGTATTGCAATGTAATTGTCTTTGCTGGTATTGTGATGTCATTGTCTTTGCTGGTATCATTATCTCCTCATTGTTGTCACAGTTACTGTCATGCCATTGTTGTCAGTAGTATTGTAATGTCATTGTTGTCCCTAGCATTGCAGTGTCATTGTCATAAATGCCATTGACATCAGACATAACACGGCACTGTGTTTCTTTCCCAGGCGTGTCTCAGAACTATGCCAGAAGGACAACCATCCCCATTGATTTGGTGGGTTTTGAGTTTGAGGTTTTGAGAGAAACACCAACTGAGAAGCCACAAGATGGTGCTTTTGTCTATGTAAGTAGTCTGCCATGTGTCACATCCATTTGTACATTCAGCATTTGTCTATATCAGTAATCTACCACATTTACGTTTATATGTTCACATTCATTTATTGTATGTCTAAGTGATTGGGATGCCGTGTTTCATGTTCCTTTGTAGGTCAGCATTTGTCTTGATTTGGTTGTCATGGTCATATTAGGTAGCGTAAACACGGCCTTGCGGGCACTCGCGGCCTTCCGAACACGTGGTACTGGTGAAATCGGGGTAATTCAGATCGCTGTTTCTTTGCTCTTTTGCTATAAAACACCAAATGCTGTACACCTTGTAAAAGTTCAGCTTTTCCTTGTTACAATGGTGTAAGTTGTTTATATGTCCGATTATTAGGAGCTGGAGAATCGGTGACGAAAGCGAAGCCCCTGGCGGTTGTAATGCGTGGTCGGCCGGTTTGAAAAATGACACGTTTGCATTTAAATGCTTCGCAGAAAGATTGATGATTACATACCGTCTTTTCATTGGCGGAGAACCATAGAGCTTTGGATGGGTTTTCCCATGGTATATTATTGGTCTATGGCGTTTAAATAGAAAGCCTTTAAAAATGCCGTCAAAGTTGTCATAGATAATTTTTTACACGAAATATGTAAAATACCGGCTCAAAAAAGGTATCAATAGAAAGATCAGTTCATTTTCTATTAGAATAAAGTAATCGGCTTGGAACTATTTTTCATCAATTATTCCGCGAAACTCGGAAAGCATGTGACCCCCACGCAGGGAGCCCTCGGTACACTACAGTATAGAGACGACTCGCTCGCCACGGGGGGCTGGTGGGGCGCCGGCCGAATCAACGCTATTGTTTTTGTCGAAATAACGACAGATCATCGTGTTTGCTGCGATAAAATACTGATTTGTAATGATCTTAAAGTCTTGAAAAAAATTAAGCTCCATATCTATGTTATAGTGATTGAACTCTGTTAATGTGGAGATGTTTGGTGCTCTTGGTACTCTTTTATTATCTGTCAAACATGGGATTGCAGCCAGTGAGCAACTTAAAAAAATTTGACCAAATTTTAAACAGCTACCATTTTCTTAAAAATCAACTGAGAGGTTAAAGAATGGTACGATAATTCTCAGGAGATATAGGACTGTCTTCAGAGAAAGTTGCATTTGAAAATAGCAAAAGTTGCAAGAAAAATCAGCAAAAGTTGCAAGAAAAGTTGCAAGACTTGTATAGCTAAAACAATGTCACGGAACTATTGGAATACACTGTTGCTATGCTCATTGCTATCAAAAGTAACCAATATGAGTTTTGTTAGATCGAAATCAGAAGTTAAATGTGAATGTCCACCAAAAAAAAAAAAAAAAAAAAAAACTGCATGGAGGTTGCCTGGTGTACAAAAACAGTTTGTCCCCTGACACGTGTGCCAGGTCCTTAAACTCTCGCTGACGTTGGGCAGGTGTGACCACCGTGGTTTTGGGGCTGTTCAAATATAATCTTACACTTTGTTTGGGACTTCCTACCCCCCTCCCTTACCCTTTCTTTTATACTTTCCAGCTCCCCCTCCCCCAATCAATCCCGTAATATTACGTTATTCGCTTTTAATAATAATATGACATTTATATTGTGCAAATCCGTGTTACAATCACTCTTCTATGCGCTTTACTTTTAAATTAATATAGTATTCATGAAAAACATGCATGCACACGTCATGTGGCATGATAATTAAAAGTGCGAGATGACATATTATATCTATCGTGCTTGCCGCTCAAGGTCCATTGCCACAATATGCCATGCTTACCGATTGAACTTACTCTGAGGGAATAGTGTAGTAACTCTCTTTTTATGTTATTTTTTAAAAATTACATTGACATAAATTATATTCCCCCCC